TACACTGATTGTACTGTAGGCCCTACCCTGTCTCTTATACACATCTAGATTTGTATAAGAGACAGTCTGGCCACTATCAATGTCAAACATGAACACACTACCATTTTTACAACCTCCTACATATGCAACATTTGATGTCTCATCAATATACATACCAGATGTCTTCATTGATTTTTCCTGGCCAATTGATTTGGTCACCAGACCATTCTTATTGCATACTTTGATGCATCTAGCATTAAAATCACTGAATGCTATGTTACCATTCTTCATTTTGAACATTCTGTTTACTTTCACACCTTGTGGTAGTGTAACCTTACCAATATATTCTCCTGATTGCTTGTACTTGAGTATTTCATTTGTTGCACATGAAACAAGCAAGCAATCATCTTCACACTTAATTAAATCTTTTATATATTCTTCATTTATTTTAATAGTATTTACTAATCCTTCCTTCTCTACCTTGATCAACTGTGGTGACTGATTGATTGGTGTGTCATCAGCACTAACATCTAGTTTGCAAACACCTGAACTTGTGCATGTTCCTGTCACAAAGTAATCTCCATTGTCATCTTCTTCAGCTTGTGTGATGTAGGTTTCACCTGTAGGCTGTGTCCATGTTGCTGTCAGTTGATTTGCATATATTTCACAATCATTTGTTTTGATTATTTTGACAACAATTTTCTGACATTGGGTCACAGATTCCTCTCCTTTTAATGTTAGACAGTCTGCTACCTTCAATTGTGTCACATTTCCAATATCAAGTTGTTGTTTGTTTATCAAGAATTGAATGTGTCCATTATCATCTGGCTCTGTGTTTGGCAATTCATTCATTCTGTCCTTCAATGCTGCAATTACCTTCTCACTTGACTGCATTGCTGTTGCTTCATCACTCTTTAATAAATGATTAAGAAAACTCAGTTTTGTGTTTATGTCAGTTATTGCCATTTTCAATTTAACCATTTGTACATTGTTTGCCTTCTTTTTCTTTTTGTATATTGTCTCTACTTCATTTTTAATGTTGTCTCCATTTTCTTTGATTGTTCTTATCATCACTTGTACATGATTGTCAATATCTCTCAAAGTTGTATCTTTACTTTGTTCTAATTTTGTAGCATTCAGAATAACTGCTTGGAGGCCATCATGTAATTTGTTTTTGCAGTCATTGGCAGCTTTTTCCAATGCTTCTGAAGTTTCTTTAAATGTTTGGAATGCTTTAGAAATGCCAATTTGTTTGTGATTACCCTCCAACTCCTTGTCCATAATTATACAGTTAACACAAATAGGAATTGTACAGTTTTCACAGTAAAACTCCAAGGGTTTATTGTGAAGTAAACACTGCGGCGGATGTAATGAAGCTTTCTGTATGTGGTTCATTGATAGCACATCTTCCACTGAATGTAGCTTGTGATTTGCAAAGAGTTGGAACTCTTTATGATGGTCAATACAAGTAGAGCACAAGTACTGTCTGCAATCCTGGCAGTAGTATAATGCTTCTTCTCCTTTTTTACAAGCACATTTTATCTGATCTATTTCAGAAAAATGTTCAATAGTTTCTAATAAGTTATTAAGAAAGGTATTTGGAGAAAGTTTCTGAAGTCCTCCCTCTGGAATGGCATATGATTTTGAGCAAGTTGGGCAAGTCAACTCACCATTCATCTTAACCGTGTGTTCCAGACATGCCAAACAGAAACTATGGAGGCAGTTGAGCAATTTAGGATTTTGAAATCTCTTACAGCATATGGTACAATCTAGGACCTGATTCAGCTCGCTGGTAGCCATCTTAAAATTAAATCCTGTGAATTATAAGTTATTTTTGTGAGATAGTTTTGTGCAGAATGAAGATATGAAATAATAATTTTATTTTAATGATGATGGGCTAGACCCCTAAGTGGCGGATCCAGGGGGGTTCAGTGGACCCCCTCTGTGAAGAAACATAACAAAATACTACTGGATCCTGGCTTACAAAATTCATGCTAACTAGACGCGAATCCAGACCTTCGCCCACTTCGTCCAGGCGAAGATCAGGGTGAAAAATCAAAATAAAATGTTGACCATTTTTTCCAACAATCATACTTACTTTCCTGGACACTTATTTTGAACATTATCATTAGGAAAATGTTTAAATCCACGCTATCCTATACCTTACACTTTTACACTGATTGTACTGTAGGCCCTACCAGAGAGAGGTACATTCCCAATACATTAGGCCTATGGTCTTCCACTTCTATAGCGCATGATACAGTGCATAGCAAACGTTATGTAACCACTAATAATTCATACTCAGGTCCTGGCGTAGGTATGGGAAGTGCAGTATTAGGGGCTCGTTCAATAGGTCTAATCTGGTCTAATGATCTAAAAATATAACTTTAAAAAAATCCTATTTAAACTTTAAAAGGACCCTTCAATAATATTAGGTTTTAGAGGCTATAATTATAGATTATTATTCATTACAATTTACCTATTACCAATTTCCCAAACGCTGCAAATAAAAAAAAAAACCAACAAAATAATCCCTTGAAACGTATACAATGCACTAATGTACTTTTTGAAATCACATTTCTAAAGCAATAAAATATCGTCACGCACATTTGTGTTTGTGGTACTTAGTAAAGTTGGTTCAACTATTATTGTGTACGTTTTTAAACACTTCAAATCATCATAACTTTTTAAAGACATTTTAAATTCACTTCACTGCAAGTAGGTCGATGACTTTTCTATTATTGAATGGTAATTGTTATTATCGTGATGGAATAAACAATACCTGGGTTTACGTCAGGGGAATCAATTATGGTGGGAGGGGATGCTTATATGTGTAATTTTGCCCAACTTGTCATGAAAATGTACTGAATACTCAGTGTATGTGAAAACACTTGCAAAAAATTATTTGCAAGTTGTTCTCCAGTGGGCTCGAACCCACATTCTCCAGTTCTCCAGATCACTAGCCTAGCATCATACCTCATACCACCGAGCTTGCACCTGATGGCCAGGGTTGAATTCGAGCCCAAGTAAGCAGCGAGTACTATTTTTGCAAGTGTTTTCACACTCACTGAGTATTTAGTATATTTTCACGACGGGTTGGACAAAATTTCACCTATACATGTTCTATTAATGTTGTCAATATTATAATATATCATAGATTCATGAAATGCCTAATAGGCCCTAAACGATAACATATACATGACTTGACCATAGTTTGTTCTCAATATTCTTGAATTTTTTAAACAAAATATTTTTTAGATATTTCTGAAATGCCGTACCAGTTTAAAAAAATCTCAGAATGTATGTGCATTAAGAGTTTCGCCTGAGTAGACCCCACTAAAGGCTCTCTCTCTAGGTCTGATCAGGTGCATTTTTACCAATTTTACCTAGGGCCCAGCAGTTATCTATGCCATAGTTACCAACCGTCACGCATCGTGCGGGACAGTCTCGCGATTCAAAGGGATTTTGGATGAAACACGCATTTTGCAGAAGCACATGCGAGATCATAAATGTGTCACCCATTTAGCACTTGCGTGATAACAAATTATCACAAATTCAGGGGAAAACGTATTTAAAATTAGAAGAAATTGGTTTTATTAAAAATATAAAAACAGTCATACAATACTGTAGCTTGAGTCATTAGATAGTTTTTATTATCTCGTTCGAGAATCAATTCACTGAGAAAATTTCTCCTTTTCCGACCAAACCAACTTAGCCAACCACGCACTTGTAGAATCTAGTAGTCGCGAGCAGTCTTGCGAATTTATTTTTACAACCAACCGTTGATTATGTGACTGGAACCCAAACTTCCGCAGGGGTTCCTAATAAGCAATACCGTATATACTCGCGTATGTCCTATAAGGTGACCCGTGTATATGACGACCCCCGAGTTTTAGAAGATTTTGGTTGATATTTTTATGTCTGGTGTATAAGACGACTCCCTGTTTCATGGTCGGAATTTCTAATTTTTTGTGGTCCTGATACTGCAACTAGCAAATAGTTTTCAAATCTTCACCACCAAAATCGTATTTTCCCGTATTTAAAATTGCTTTCATTCATACAACATTCAGTTGCTTCATTACAGTAGTAAGTTCGCGTGTTACGGACGATCCGCACATAAGACGAACATAATTATAAAAATCTAAAATCTGAATGTCGTGCATAAAGACAACCCCCTTTCTTTCGATCGTAATTTGCTATTTTAAGCCTCATCCTATTGCACACAAGTATATACGGTATTTGTTTTAAAACCCTAGGTCACCTGACTGTTAGTCATACAGTGGCGGATTCAAGGGGGAAATTTTCCATGGGGAGGACCCCGCCCCCTTTTATTTTTGGGTATTTTTGGAAACATTTTGAAACCCCCCTCTTTCAAATCCTGGACCCGCCCCTGCCCTTAGTATTCAAACTATAGGTCAACCAGAATTAGGGTTACCATGATAGTTTGCTGGGTTGCCAACGTTTATGGAGACAACAATTTTGGACAGTACCAGCATGGAGTTAAAATATTTAATTTTGATGTTGATGTAGTGGTGGCAGTAGCAGTGGTGGTAAAAGCGGTAGTATATGATGGTCAGAAGGTGATGGTTATTGTTGGTGGTGGTAGGTGATGGTATAGTGCTTTGTTGGTAGGTGATGGTTAGTGTTGGTACGTGGTGTTAGTGTTGGTGGTGGTACAGTAGATGAGGATTAATATGGGGGGTAGGTGGTAGTTCTGTTGTTGGTAGGTGGTTGTGTTGGTGGTAGTGTACATGATAGTAGTTAGTGATGTTTAGTGGTGGTAGGTGATGGTTAGAGCTGATGGTGGTAGGTGATGATTAGTGTTGGTGGTGGTACTGTAGGTGGTAGATTGTGTTGGTGGTGGCAGGTGATTATTTGTATTGGTAGTTGGTAGGTGATGTTTACTGTTGGTGGTGGTAGGTGATAGTAGGTGACTACATTTTCTACATATTTGCCAATGTGGTCATTTTTTCATAAAGGTGGGTCTAGGGTGTCTGGGATTGTACTACCTTTTTAATTGGCTTCTTTTTTTCTGGGATATTTACATGTTACACTTTATTTGCCGTGAACCAATTCAAAATTTTGTAACGTGTAAAAGAATCGCTACCTTTATCAGTGTTAGAAAGTAAAGTGTGGATTAATTAATCAAAAATAACTTTGTACTAATAGCGCTCAAGAAAACCATACTGATGAGAATAAATTCAATTTCTCAAAGAATGCAGATAACAGTCCGTAGCCAGGAATTTGGTAGGGGGGTTCTTTTTGATACTGAAAGGGCACTTGCGAGCACCATTGGCTGGGGCCGGGGGGGCCGCCAAGGGCCCCCGGGGGTCCAGTGCCAAAACCTTGGTGGGGGTCCAGCATTCTAAGCATTTACAGGTGTTATTTAATTGATTTGAGAGGCCATACATTAAAAAAAAATGTATATATTAAAGAGGTAATTTTTTGAGTTGGGAAAAGATAAAAAAAAAAAAAACTACTACTTTAGTACTAAGCCTACAGTATTGGTAATTTAACAACAGTAGCATGATACAAACTCCAAAGAA